GTGTGTGTGTGTGTGTGTGTGTGTGTGTGTGTGTGTGTGTGTGTGTGTGTGTTTTCTTGTTTGTGCCTGCTATTTTCTCTTTTCCATCTGTCTGTCTGCCCCCCGCTTCAGGACATGCATATCATCAGCACAGATGAGAAGCAGGTATTCGCTGCCGTCCAAGAGTGGAATCAGAACAACACTTACAGCCTGTATATCTCCGACTCCCCCGGGGTCTACTTTATCCTTTCATTAGAGAATCTGAGAACCAGCAGAGGGCCCGCTGGTAACCTACTGGTTGACTTTTATAAGGTTTGTTGTCAGCTTTGTTCAAGGACTGCYGCTGTTTCTGCACCATTAATTTCTCCTTCCTCCAAACCAACCATGGAGGATATCAGCTTAACTAAGTTGTGATTACAGTTTAATTTATTTGTGCTTTTACTGTCAGAATGTTTCAACTGGCCACCTTCAAACAAACGGAAATCAATTWGTAGTTACTGCTTTTTTGTGTGTTTTTATTCCAAGTGAATTAAGTTTCTAAATTTATTTTTTAAATGAAATAAAATTTCTTTTGAACATTTACTCAAATTTTTTACATTACATTTAATATAAAAAGCATATTTATGCCATATTTTTGATGTCTATCAAATTGCATAGATTGTTGGATTTTACATGGTGAATGTGAGGCTTCCAGCAGATAAAAATTTACATGCAATATTTATGATCTCTGTAAATGATCTGACGCATTCTTACAATTCTGAAGCCCTTCGAAAATCAGGCTTTATGTTTTGAAGAAATGTTGCCAAAAAATGCGTGTTTTTAAAAAAGAAAGCAAGACATTTTCTTGCATTGCTCAATTCTGTTTGCTCGTTTTAACTCTTCTGATTTACAGGTAGAAGGGATAAATGGCATGTATTTTGCCAACAAACTGGTGGATAATCATATTAAGACTTTCATCACTTACAACAAGGGACAAACCTGGGCCCTACTGCCAGCACCTGCCTCTGATGTGGCTGGAAACAACCTGCACTGCATACTGGTGAGCTTTGGAGCTAAATTATGCACAGAACATGTATCATTCATCAAAAAAATTTCAACCTCATCAGTTGTGCTTGGGATGTTTTTTGATTTAGTCAGGGCCATATTTTTACATGGCCAGGTTCATTCCCCAACATGTTTTGCTTTGTTTGTTTTTTTTTTTTCATCTCTAAGTGGATGAGAAGATGCTTGGCTGAAATATTCAGATTTTTGATGTAAGTCACAGAGTGTCATGGCGTTTAATTTCAGGAGTCCTGACTTTCCATTAACCTTTGTGATTTCAATTTACTACCTGTAGTCACGCTGGACTAATGAATGTTAGATTACACAGAATTACATTAAGGACGTGTTGTTATACAGCCAGTACAATCGAACCTAATTCAGCCACTACATCTTTAAGCGACAGAAAATGTATATTATTCAGTTAATAGCAGGTTACAGTCTTTCAGKGTGTTGTAAAAATGACCACTCTGCTTCTGTCTGCTTCCCGACCCCCACCTCCCCCCGTCAGCTCTTTCAAAAGATTTATCGATGTTTTTTTTTTCTTTTTTATCCCAGTTTGCTTCAGTCAGGAAGATGAGTGAAATGATTTGAATCAATTTTGCCAGTTTTATCWGTGCATCTTGGGGAATTTTAATTACATGCCTTGTTTGCTTTGGAACGAAACAATTTCGAATGCCCTCCRTGTCCTCTCAGCTATTTCCTGTTTTTTTTTTTTTTTTTTTATCATAGCGATGACAGCATCAACGGATCTTTGTTTCGGAAATGGCCTCTGAAAGTGTTAGCAGCTTCCCATTGCTGGGAAGAATAGAAAAGAAAGGGAACACTAATTGCTCTCGCCTCTGTTAAGATCTAGATCCTCTGTGTCTGAAYGCGCTTGTGTGCTGTTTTGTGTTGTTGACAGCCATTTTGTTCGCTGCATCTTCATCTGGAAATGTCAGAGACTCCCTACGCGTCCGGACCCATCACCAGCAAAAAGTCGGTGCCAGGAATCATCGTGGCAACAGGTACGGTTGCATCAAAGCTGTGCATTTGAAGCAGCGAGACTTTGGCAATGTCTTGTTTCTCAGGTGAATGCATGGCAGCAGCACCAACGCACAGACGCGCCGGGAAAAAAAAACGGCACGTCGTCCTCTTTCTGTCACTGCAGAAGTCTCATGCAGAAACTTCAGCTTCTAAATGTTTTGATGATTAGGTTGCAGATAGACAAAAAAAAAGTGTCCTCCAGTGAAAAATGAGGACATACACACATTTACTTATTAATGATTTTTATCAGCTGATGGTGCACACACAGAAAACGTGATATTGGGTCTTTTGCTGCGTGAACACACTCCGATTGAAAATCCTTTTGTGCTCAGGAAATATTGGAACTGAGCTGTCCTCCAGCAACCTTGGGATGTTTATGACATCTGATGCAGGAAACAGCTGGAGACAGGTGAGAACCGTCTATAAACACTATAAAAACAAATCAACACGTCACTAAGATGGACATGTTTTGTAACCGTTTCAGATTTTTGATGAAGAATACAACGTTTGGTTCCTAGATAACGGCGGGGCTTTGCTCGCCGTTCTCCATGCACCGACCCCGATCCGACACCTATGGTAGGTTGCTGCTTGTCGTCAAAAGAAGCGCGCTGGAGGTAGGAACTGTAGGTGTTGGAGTTGGAGTGGAAAATTACCTCGATGTAATTTAGTTTTGGGGAAGAGGAGAGGAGAGGAGGGGTTGGCGGTGCAGCGTATGATTACATTTAATGTTTTGAATTGCTGATGGGCYAAGTTTATGTGATTATTGCATCGGCACCACGGCTTCAGAACTGTCATTTCCAACACAAGAGAGTGTGTTACAGCTTTGTACTCTTGGTTGGATATGAAGGTTTGAGTGCTTTTATGTAAATGAGAAGCAGAGCTGGGTGGAAATATGAGCCTCAGAATGCCCTCATAAGTCGCTCATTGTGGGAGCTTTGTAACACTATCTACTTTGATGTCCCTGCACACTACAACCCTGTCAAAAGTGATTAAGCTCTAAGAAAGGCGATTTGAAAACCCCAAATCTATTTCTAATGTTAGAGCCTGAGTCATACCCTTCCTTCTGATGTTTTGTCACCTTCCAATATTTACCTGGGCTGAGGGACATTTGTTCCATTGTTCAGCCTGCTGTCAAGATAATTTTTCAAGTGGAGAGAACCCAACGCGCTTCATTTTTCAAACATGGCAACAAGCTAAACGACCTCAAATCTTTTATCGTATTTCATTTAGCCTCGTTCTCCACTGCTCCACCTGCGCACAGGCTACATTCAGTGCCCTACGCTCGGCAGAAAACAATACATTCGTCTACTACAGAGAGATAAACATCGGATTGTAATGCGCTGACGGCTGTTGTCTTCTTCATGCAGGATCAGTCTTGATGAGGGGAAAAAATGGGATCGCCACAGCTTCTCCTTGGCACCTCTGTTTGTGGACGGAGTTTTAATGGAGCCAGAATCTGACAATCACATTATCACGTAAGCAAAGACACACGGGAGGATATCAGGCCGCCAGAAGTTGCTCCTTCCTCAGTGTAAACAAAAGGACGGTCCAAAGGGATTTCTCTTCTGATAAGAAATGCTGTAACATCTGTCCACATGGATCAGCCACACTATGACGCCACTTGTCAAACGTTTGGTAGTCCCCCCTTTTAGGCTGCTAAAACAAGCCTGAGCTGCTATGAGATGGACTTTAGATGTTTGAAGGGATTCTACACAGTCACATCTTAAAGGGGACATGGCACACATAGCTGTTCAATGCACTATGTTGTGTATTTGGAGTCTCTAGGAAGCCAAAAATTGGGAGTGGGGTGTGAAGCTCCTCTTTTGTATTTAAAGAGACAGCGACAAAACAAGCTGATACTGTATGAGACAAGCCTCAGAAAATGGGTGAAATAGGGGCTTGTGGAGTTACAATAAGGAGGAATGCAGATCAAATCATTGCAGTTCCACTTTATATAGACCCCAATTAAAGGATTTAAATGTGAAAAAGAAGGATTTAAAAGCATGATATGTCCCMTTTATTTCTTTGGGGTYRGGATGTTTGATCAGGGTGGGCTTCGGGTATATATGGGCAATTATCAAAACATCTATATGAATGCTAGCACAATCAATGCTGCTACCTGGTTATGATTTTATTGTCATAAAGACTTTTATTTATGACATTTTAATTCTTCAGCTGCTGTAAATCAGAAACAAATTAAAGATGGTATAGCTGCATTTCATGATGATTTCAGCTGCACTTAGTTATTATTTTTTTGTAATCATCTTTCAGTTTCTTTGGACACTTCAGCCATCGGTCAGAATGGCAGCTGATCAAGATTGACTACATGGGTCTCTTCAGCCGGAGATGCATGGATGGAGATTATCAGACATGGCATCTGCACAACAAGGTGACAGGAATATTTATTTTTTTGTGGTTTTCTTAAGCACAAGAACAAAACAAAAAAAAGCTCTTCAATAATTTCTGGAGTTTCTGCCAGGCCTGTAGGAAACTCAGTCCTGTCTGTCTTTGTTTGATAGGGAGAGCTGTGTGTGATGGGTGAGAAGCAGATCTATATGAAGCGCAGGCCTGGCAACCGCTGCATGTTGGCTCAAGACTATTCCAGGCTCTACTCATCAGAGCCGTGTCTCTGCACAGCTTATGATTTTGAATGGTGATGATTCCTACTTGACTGTTTCTAGGCTGAACAATAAAATATGCAACAGAAGCGTTCATCTTTTAGAATTACAGTTTTCTTTTATTCTTTTGTCGTCTGAGCTGCTGAGGTTTACTACTTTCACCATGTCAGACATGTATCTGTTGTGTTAGCAAAATATCTCATGAACCTCTTGGAGGATTTTAACGATACTTCCATCTAATCAACCTATGCCAACACAGGTCATAATATCTAGTTTCTATTGCATATTGTTAATAATGTAATCCTAAATATAATTTGAAAAATTAGAATGTTTCATCAGGTCGCCATGATTTGCATAAAGTCAAGTGACTTATTAGAATTCAATTAATAATGAAGCGCTAAATTAATTTTAAATCTATTTTATCCATCCATCTAAAATTCCGTTTGATCTTGCTTGTCTGACTATCATGTCCCCGTTTATGATCCTAAAATATTCCACGAAGCTCTAACAGCAGAGCTTCTTTTTTTTTTTTTCCTCGCCACAAAAGCTCGTAGATTATTTTGAGGAGCAGTGTTTATCATTTTATAAAGTGTTGCAATTTTTTAACCCCCCCCTTTTCTTTTTATTTCCTTTGGCAGTGATTATGGGTGGGAACGCCAGGCGGATGGGAAGTGCTCTCCTGCTTTCTGGTTTAATCCAAATGGTGCGGCTAAAAGCTGCAGCTCCAGCCAAAGCTTTCTTAACAGCACCGGGTAAGTGGGACCCAATGTTCAGTCCCTCGAAAAACAATATCATTCCATCTCACCTTGTTTGACAAGCTGTCTGGTATAAAAACAGAAAATTATAGTTTACTGCCTTGTGAAACCTAAAAAAAGGGTCTCTGTGAGCTGAAAAATATAAACAACGCTGTGTCTCATTGCTTTTAAGGCTAATATTACAAAGATATGATACTCAACACCATGTTTACTCATAGAACTTGACTACATTTATGTACGCAAGTTAAATCTAAGTGCTGTTGATGACATGTTTTGCAAAGATCTGCAGAGTTTAAATGAAGGACCTGCTGACAAATTCGTGAACAGTAATTCCAGTGATGTGYGATTCCACATTTCGATGTATTATGCGATTGCATACAAGTTTGCCTCATACGTTTTCCTCAAATATACTAAAAATCCTATGTATTATAAAACATGTTACTTTCTCCTTTATGCCTCTAAGGTATCGTAAGGTTTTATCCAATAACTGTAAGGAGAGAGGATGGAATGTGTTCTCGCCCAAGAGGGTCGCGTGTCGCCCCAGAGCGCCCCAAGGCCTCCGACTGTCCACCAGCAGCGGAGAGCTCAGCGCCACCGTCGGAAGCAACGTTACTTTCATGATCTACCTCACTCATGTGAGTCACAATGTTGTGAGAAAAAAAAAACTACCAATCACACTTCAAAAATGTGGCTCGACAAGCAAAAAAATACAAGGTTTGAGTCATGTGTMAGCACTTTGCTTTTTCCTTTTATGWATTTTTTCTAAACCTAACTGTCTGCTATTTTTAATGTTTAATTTGACCAAGTTCTTCTTTATTGCTCAAAATGAACCTATCATCACTGACGTATTTGAGTAAATCTTTGTGCAGATGGGGCTCAGGTGATAGTTTGTAGATTAATGCCTTCAGCTGTCTGCTTCTACCTTCTGGTCTGTATGAGCTTAAGTGACAAGTATAAAATAATTTCCCTGACAAAAACAAATGTAGGCATGTTTAAATATTACAACAAATACTGCAGTATTAAATTAACATTATCAGTGTTGATTTAACAGTAATTAACACTGTTTAGTGATAAATTTCCACCAATATTGTTAATTTAACACTGCTACAGCGGGTAAAATAAGTATTGAACACATCACCATTTTTCTCAGTAAATATATTACTAGAGGTGCTAATGACATGAAATTTTCACCAGATGTTGGTAACAACCCAAGTGATCCATACATAYAAAGAAATCAAACCATAAATGTCCAGAAATGAAGTTATTTGTAATAATGTGGAATGGCACAGGGAAAAAGTATTGAACACATGAAGAAAGGGAGGTGTAAAAAGGCATGGAAAGCCAAGACACCAGCTGAACTCTCTCAGTAATTAGAAAGCAAGTCTGCCCCTTGTCAGTGCAAGTTAATATCAGCTGGTTCAGTCCCAAATGATGGCCAGGTATCACACAAGAACCATCTGATGATGGGTAAAAGTAAAGAGCTCTCTCAAGACCTTCAGCAGTTCAGCCGGTGTCTTGGCTTTCCATGCCTTTTTACACCTCCCTTTCTTCACATGTTCAATACTTTTTCCCTGTGCCATTCCACATTATTACAAATAACTTCATTTCTGGACATTTGTGTTTGATTTCTTTGTATGTATGGATCACTTGGGTTGTTACCRACATCTGGTGAAAATTTCATGTCATTAGCACCTCTAGTAATATATTTACTGAGAAAAATGGTGACGTGTTCAATACTTATTTTACCCACTGTATATTTGCTGTGTAATTTTAAAGGCAAGTAACAGTGACTAAACAGTTTTGGAGCTCTTAAATGTTAAGAGTTTTAAAAGAYGTGTGTCTTTATTTTAAAGTTGCTCCTTGTTCTGCCACAAAGCTATGACACAGTTTGTATTGGGCTACGTTTGAAAGTCTCCAAATGGTAGATGGTCATCGCATGAATCACATAATGGATTTTATTTATCCAAAGACAAAGGCAGAGAGAGAATRTTTGTCTGTGTCTGTGAGTGGGTTTGTGCATGTCTGCATGTATTTGTTTGTCCATTCTGTTAGCAAAATATTTCATGAACCTCTGGTCAGATTTCATTGGGATTCTCAGAAACTAATTAACTGGGACTGTGTTTTTTTATATATTTCTATAGTTTAGAGTGACAGCCTAATTCAWGACACTACAGCTAATCAACCTTAGCCTACAAAAAATGTCAAAAGGGCAGTAAGATTTGAAGATATTAGGCTAACGTTTGGTGTTGTATTACAACGTCTACTCCAACAAATCATGCACAATGTTGCAATTTTGGGTGAGATAACGGCTAATGTAAGTTTTAAGGGTTGGCTAAAATGGCTACATTAATCATTTCTCAAAACAAAATGATCTCAGTATGAAGCTCTTGCATAAAAGTGATCAAAAGATATAGTAGCTAAAGTCGACAAAATTCTCTGATCAAAATTTTCTCATTTTTCCATGAACTCACAGAGCAGTTGTATTTTTTTCTGTTTTGCTTTATAGTGTTATATTTGTTAAAAAGCTGTGTTTTCACTTTGCAGGCGCACACTAATGAGCATAATGGGAGCTATAAGGTCCCTTAGTCATCTTACATGCTCTGCCCATAAAGAGATGCCACTTCTAAGCCACTGTTGCCTCCAAGAAGGTCATAAAAATCTGTTTGTGTTTCAGCTATTTTAAAAACACTACTTCTTTTCAGTAAATAGTGGTTTCTATAGGTGAAAGTGACAAAAACTCAGATGGCAATGTGCAGAGCAAAGGCAAAATTAAAAGGCTGCTTACATTATATTGAATAATCCACAGATCTTATTGGAAACACATTTAATTTGAATAGCTTTCTAATAAAAAAGAAGCCCTAAAAGTGCAGACCATGTTACTGTTTTTTTTTTCTCAGCGCTTAAACCTACTTGACATGTCGCTGTAACAATAAAAGAAAAGTCACACTGCAGACATTTCAAAGTCCAGGCAATTGCAAGTGAAATRCACCACACTGTGATTGATTACATCTAATGTCAAACAGTTTATAGACACTGACTTCTTACTTTTCAAGCTCAGTGACCTTTTTGCCCTTTTGGCCTCCTTCTTCGCTTCTCCTCTTGCTTCCCCATAGGAATTTCTGTCACCTTTTATCCGTATTCACCTACAGAACTTTAGTGGCACAGCTTAAAGGACATCTGAGCCCCTGCACTTAAGTGGCGGGCCGAGCTTCCTCCAGTTTCTATGCGGCCCAACTAAAGTGTCCTGACCTAAGCCGCGCTGACAGATCCTGTGTCGTACCACGTGTCCGCAGGGAGACTCGCCGAGCACCAGCATCCAGTTAGACTTCGGGGACGGCATCAAGATCACGTACTCCAACCTGAGCAGGACCGATGATGGCATCAAGCACATCTACAGGATGACTGGGATTTACCGAGTGACAGCTTCTGCCGACAACAGCCAGGGATCTGACAGCAGCACGCTTTTTCTACACATCACCAGTACGTGGAGAAGTAACATCATTACTCATTCCTGCAGCAGTGCGCATCGCATGAAGCGTCCTTCTTTCATTAGATATTCACGTCTGCGCGTTGCTGAATTTGGTGTCAATCATAATCTGACGTTTTTTTATATGTGTTTCATTCTTGGAAACTGCAAAAAGCCCACACCTAAGGCTGAAAGTACAAACGCTCTGATCACAATAAATGTTTATTTTTTTTTCTTTGTGTTGATTTGGTGCATGTACGGATATGTGCTGATGGATGTGTCGTCGCTTCAGGTCCAGTGGAGCGCATATATCTGTCCGTGCCTATTGTAGCCGTCAGAGGGAAAGCGGCTAATCTGACGGTGGTAGTTTGGCCGAGCCACACCAGAACTCTGACCTTCTTCTGGTGGTTTGACAACAGCTCCGAGGTGAGAAGCTCGCCGCCGTCCTCCTCCTAGCGCTGTTTGCACTGCACGCATTGTCTTTGCCTTGTTTACTGCCCCTGTTTTCACTCTCCCTCTCCTCCTCTTGTGTCCTTGTACTGTTGTTTACAATTTTTGTTATTTTTTTAAAGCATAAAAATCAGCAGAGCTTTTGCACAGATTATGTAGAAATGGGACTGGATGCATCTTTGTGAGAGATCCAGCCCAGACGCATTGTGATATTTATTTATCACGTTGATTGTATTCACTGAAGCAACGCTCATTATATAGTGTGTCAAGGGCTGCATATATGTGGTATTTATTCAACTTTTTTTTTTTACTTCTGAGCATTTCTCTGTGTTTTTTTCCCTTTTTGAAATTCAGCCCATTATAACTTTGGAAGGAAGCATCTCCCACATGTTTCACAAGGAGGGAACAAACAAGGTCACGGTCCAGGTTGCCTGTGGAAGCACCGTGATGCAGGACTCAAAAGTTATAACTGTTAAAGGTGAGCGGGAAAAGGACAGACTTCAAAGCACTTTATTTGGAGTTACATGAATATGCAATATGGTATTTTGTGATGGGGGGGGGGTGTAATGTCTCTCGGTCAGCGCTGAGAGCTGTGCCTTGTGTATGTCAACGTAGGCCTACCTAATGAATAAAATGTCACGGTACGCGAACACGAAATCTGGAGGAGCAATTAACTTCAAGGCGTATGCTCCCAAATGAAAAAAGACAAAACTGCACATCAGATTAATCAGAAGCCAAACCAGAAGTAGCATTCATATTCTAATAGACATTACCTCAACCTTCTCCCCCCTTTTTTTTTTACTTGCCAAGAGTTCTTCAGGTCGCTGCTGTTGTCGTTTTCACCGGCTCTTGACGAGCACAACCCTGACATCCCCGAGTGGAGGGAGGACATAGGCCGTGTGGTGCGGACAGCTCTGTCACAGGTACATCAAGTCCCAACAGATCTTTCCTGGAAACAACATCGGACTCSGCTGGCTCTCAGGGTCATTACTATTTTATACCTCTGTGCAATAACAGCACAGCAGGCATGTTGTTACAAACCCCATGATCTCTTTTCAAGTTGATCTGTGATGACAATCTGTGCGATTTGAAGCTTGTGTCAAAATGTTACCTATAGAGCAGGATTGGATGATGGGATTTGAGCTTTAAAGAGAAATTACGAGCCCAAACTTTAACCTTAATAATAGAGCTAGCTGTCAGTTTCGCTGTCTGATCACTGCAGGTTTCTGGCGTTCCTGAAGATCAGCTGCTCGTGTCTCTCTACCCGGGACTTCCAACTACAGCCGAGCTCTTTGTCCTGCCTGATGAGCAGACGTCAAATGAGCACAAAAAAAGGAGCGAGGAGGCGTTGGATACAGTAAGAGTCATGACGTGAAGAAGTGTTCACAATCATGATTTTCATTTTAATGGAAATAAGAGAAACTTTGCTGCTGAAACAATAGCTGCTGTTTGAGAATTTCAGATAAGTAGCAAACCAGAAAGCTGAAATTATCTTATGCTCCTTTCTGGATCTTCATTCTGACTTTTGTACCCAATAAAATCATTTCTTTACCCACATTTAGAAGATAAAACTAACCAGGCTTTGTTGGAGTGACCAGTCAAAGCAGACTGATTTTTTAGGGGACTGATGTAGCAGAAAATGTAGATTTGCAGAACCAAAAGCATTACTCTGGTAGGTGTCACATGAGAGCCTTGTGCAAAATTTTAACAGTAATTAGTTATCTGGCACACATACAGTTTTCAAGAAGAGAAAAAGATTACAGCAGTCAAGGGCAAAAGTTCCCTTTCTTTTTTGAGAACCATCTGCAGATGTGAATTTTTTATAATTGTATATATA